ATCCTCCATTGTCTTTGGAATTATATAAACGTCAAAACTTGCATTATAGCAAATATTTCAGTCGGAGGCTTGGAGGCTTGCTCATTGTTACCTCAGACTGTCACCGGCTACAATTATCAATGGCTATGTATGACTGCCCCCCCCCCCCCCCCGCACACAATTAGGTTATTTCTTCAACAATTAGTACATTAAGTTCTTAAAATGATATATGAAGTGTGATTATCTTACATTTGAATATAATATGTATGACTTCATTCCAATATTTGAAAATCTATGGCAACATTTAACTTCTCGGCCACTCTTCGTATATGTCCTCTATTTGACCTTGAACTATTATAATGAATTAAATTGTCCCTCTGATATTTTTTAGAAAGTAAATAAAAGTTGTATACCCAGATTGTTCTTTAATTTAGTTATATTAGAAAGAAAACTATAATAAATTTGAATCTCTTCCTTCCTACAAATATCCAAGAATCCGAAAATACTAAATATATAGGCCTATATCTTGTGACCTTGAGAAAGGTCATACCCATGAGTTGATTTTGGTAGACTTTTTTTCCCTAAAATCTGACTTGCTACCAAATAACATAAAGTATGAATTAATTCTGTTGCAATTTTCTTGAGGTTGGCCATTTATTTCGACCAAAATGACCAGACTAAGAAACGTTGAAGGCAGGAGCGTGCAAAGAAGACCAATGCAGGAATTTTATGCGAAGGAGATAATTAGTGGAAATAGACTGTCACGAGTAGATCCTGAAGTCAGAGGCGTGCCATGAAGACCAATGTAGGGAAGATATTCAGTTGCAATTAATTGACACGAAGACAACCTACACGCAGAAGGTTTTCAAGATGAGCAATGTAGGGAATTCATGCGAAGAAAATTGTCAGTGACAATTGACTGTCACGAAATCACCTTCGAGTCAGAAGAGTGCCATGAAGACCAATGTAGGCATGCGAATTCATGCGAAGAAGGTAATCAGTTGCAATTGATTGACACGAAGACACACTGGACGCAGAATCGTCTCAAGAAGACCAATGTAGGGAATTCATGAAAAGAAGATATTCAGTGGCAATGAGACTGTCACTAAGAAACGATGAAGGCAGGAGCGTGCCAAGAAGACTAATGTAGGCAATTCATGCCAAGAAGATATTTAGTGGCAATTAACTGTCACGAAACCACCTTCCAGTCAGAAGAGTGCAATGAAGACCAATGTAGGCACTTCATGCCAAGGGATATTCAGTGGCAATTAACTGTCACCAAAATACGCAGAAGGCAGAAGCGTGCCATGAAGACCAATGAAGTCATTTCATGCTAAGAAGATATTCAGTGACAATTGTCATGTCACGACGACATCCTGAAGGCAGAATAGTTTCAAGAAGACCAATGTAGGCAATTCATGCCTAGAAGATATTCAGTGACAATGAGACTGTTACGAAGAAACGTTGAAGGCAGGAACGTGCCAAGAAGAGAAATGTAAGCAATTCATGCCAAGAGGATTTGCAGTGGCAATTGACTGTCACAAACACTTCCTGGAGGCACAAGGAATCATCAGGAAATTCCCGAGGACCAGGCATCCAACCTCCCACCATGGCCAATGGTACCCACAGAAGATCTCTGGATACGTCGATTCGAGGGTCGGGTATGCTTCTAAGACAAGTTAGGTTTAGTGATTTAACAATAAACTAGTGATTTGGCAATAAACTGTCACTTAAACACGCAGAAAGCAGGAGCATGCCAAGCAGACCAATGGAGGCAATTCATGCCAAAAAAATATTCAGTGCGTCACCCTTGAGGCAGAAGCGTGCCATGGAGACCAGTGTAGACAATTCATGTCAGGAAGATATTCAGTGGCAATTGATTAAGATGAAGACACCATGGACGCAGAAGCGTCTCAAGAAGACCAATGGAGGCAATTCATGTCAAGAAGATATTCAGTGGCAATTGACTGTCACGAAATCACCCTGGACGCAGAAGCGTCTCAAGAAGACCAATGTAGTAATTTCATGGCACGCAGATATTCAGTTGCAATTAATTGACAGCGTGTCATGAAGACCAGTGAAGGCAAATCATGCCAAGAAGATATTCATTGACAAAAAGACTGTCACGAAGACATCATAGATGTAGAAATGTTTCAAGAAGACCAATGTAGTCATTTCATGCCAAGAAGATATTCAGTGACAACTAACTGTCACAAAAAGACACGGAAGGGAGGAGCATGCCACGAAGACCAATGTAAGCAATTCATGCCGAGAAGATATTCAGTTGCAATTGATTGATACGAAGACACCCTGTAGGCAGAAAAGTTTCAAGAAGTCATGCTAAGAAGAGAATTGTCTTGTCACAAGGACATGCAGTAGGCAGGAGCATGCCAAAAAGACCGATGAAGGCAATTCATGAAAAGTTTCAAGAAGACCAATGTAGTTTTTCCATGTTAAGAAGATATTCAGTGATAATTGTCTTGTCACGAAGACATCCTGAAGGCAGAAGCCTGCCAAGAAGACCAATGTAGGCAATTCATGCCAAGAAGATATTCAGTGACAACTAACTGTCACAAAAAGACACGGAAGGGAGGAGCATGCCACGAAGACCAATGTAAGCAATTCATACCGAGAAGATATTCAGTTGCAATTGATTGATACGAAGACACCCTGTAGGCAGAAAAGTTTCAAGAAGTCATGCTAAGAAGAGAATTGTCTTGTCACAAGGACATGCAGTAGGCAGGAGCATGCCAAAAAGACCGATGAAGGCAATTCATGCCAAGAAGATATTCAGTGACAATTGACTGTCACGAAATCACCATTGAGGCAATAGCGTGCCAAAAAGACTAATGTAGGCAATTAATGCCAAGGAGATATTTAGTGGCAATTGATTGACATGAAGACACCCTGAAGGCAGAAAAGTTTCAAGAAGACCAATGTAGTTTTTCCATGCTAAGAAGATATTCAGTGATAATTGTTTTGTCATGAAGACATCCTGAAGTCAGAAGCGTGCAAGGACGACCAATGTAGGCAATTCGTGCCAGGAAGATAATCAGTGTCAATTAATTCTTACGAAATCACCCTTGAGGCAGAAGCGTGCCATGAAGACCAATGTAGGCAATGCATGCCAAGAAGATATTCAGTGACAAAAGACTATCACGAAGACATTATGGATGCAGAAATGTTTCAAGAAGCCCAATGTAGTCTTTTCATGTCATGACAATATTCAGTGGCAATTGACTGTCACGAAATCAATTGGCAGATGCGAGCCATAAAGGCCAATGTAGGCAATTCATGCCAAGAAGATATTCAGTGACAATTAACTGTCACAAAAAGACACGGAGGGCAGAAGCGTGCCTTAAAGACCAATGTGGTCAATTCATGCCAGGAATATATTCAGTGGCAATTGATTAACACGAAGACAGCCGGGACGCAGAAGTGTCTTAAGAAGACCAATGTAGGCAATTCATGCCGAGAAGATATTCAGTGGCAATTGATTGGCACGAAATAACCCTTGAGGCAGAAGCGTGGCCAAAAGACCAATGCAGTCAATTCATGCCAGGAAGATGTTCAGTGGCAAGTGACTGTCACAAAAACATGAAGGAGGCAGGAACATGCGAAGAAGACCAATGTAGGCAATTTATGCCAGAAAGATATTCAGTGGCAATTGATCAACACGAAGACACCCTGGACGCAGGAGAGTCTCAAGAAGACCAATGTAGGCAATTCATGCCACAAAGATATTCAGTGGCAATTGATTGACACAAAATACCCTTGAGTCAGAGGCGTGAGAAAAAGACCAATTTGGTCATATCATGATTGACTGTCACTAAATAAACGCTTGAGGCAGAAGCGTGCAAAAAAGACCCATAGAAGGCAATTCATGCCAGGAAGATATTCAGCAGCAATTGATTGACACGAAGACACCCTGCAGGCAGAAGAGTTTCAAGAAGACCAATCCAGTCATTTCATGTTCAGAAGATATTCAGCTACAATTGTTTTGTCACGAAGACATCTTGAAGGCAGAAGCGTGCCAAGAAGACAAATTTTGGCATATCATACCAGGAAGATAATCAGTGGAAATTGATTAACATGCAGATACCCTGGACGCAGAAGAGTCTCAAGAAAACCAATGCGGGCAATTCATGCCAAGAAGATATTCAGTGCGAATAAAACTTTCACGAAGACACGTTGAAGGTGGGAGAGGGCCAAGAAGACCAATGTAGGCAATTCATGCAAAGAAGATATTTAATGACAATAGACTGTGACGAAGATATCCTGGATGAAGTTACTTAACAAGAAGACATGTTGAGACATTTCACGTTAAAAAGATATTCAGTGGCAATTGACTGTCACGAAATCACCCTTGAGGCAGAAGTTTGTTTGTTTTGTTTGTTTGTTTGTTGTTTAACGCCGCACTCAGCAGTATTCCAGCTATATGACGGCGGTCTGTAAAATAATCGAGTCTGGACCAGACAACCCAGTGTTTGACATCATGAGCATCGTTCTACGCAATTGGGACAAAATGACATTCATCAACCAAGTCAGCGAACCTCAACACCCTATCCTGTTAGTCGCCTCTTACGACAAGCACAGTCGCCTTTTACGGCAAGCATGACTTGTGTCAAGAGCTAATCCAAGGATGTACAATGTATATGGGATGAGCGTATAGCGGGGGTCCATTCCTTCTTACCGAACCAATCTTTATGGCAGCTGTTAGCATTCTTCGTTACTCGCCCGTGATGACGGATGTAAATCTCAGCATCCAACGGGAAACGTAAGATCGATAAAATTAACCATTATGCCTGCCAATTCAAGGTAGAGTAGAAAATTTGTATTCTGAAGTCGTACATCAAATCAAGCTGGATCGACACTTATAATCTCGAATTCACTGTCACTTCGGTGCGGGCCGCATGGCGGTATTCGGAAAGGTCGATTGGCTTTTAGAAAAACATGTCAACATCATAATCATAACGTGCACATCACATCGCGGGAAAAAAACATAACAACAAAGACATACAAACATGATGAGGACTTTATTTGTCAAGATAGCATCTTTGCATCCTCCTCTAAAACAACGGTATTTGACAGATAACGTCATTCTGTCATGCATTGAGCAGTGTTCAGATAGAAACTATTCACTCCCCTCTAAGACAGGGTTAAGGTAAATCAAACTAAAGAAGTAGAGGTTAAAGAGACTGGGGCATTTTATAATACACAACAGGATCAATTGTAATGGAAACTCATACAAATGAATTGTTTCTAATATCATGATGACTATTGGAGATAGTAGTTCCAGTTCCAGTTCCAGTTATTGCTCATTTCGCACACGCAAATTGATGATGGTTTGAATAAAGATGGTCTTGTCGCCATATTTTAATGCTTTCCTCCAGTGTTTATTCCATAGTTTAGCTAGTATCAATAGTGTGTAAAACACGGTAATTGTGGTTGATGAATTAATGCCCGATTGTGGTTCTGGTGCCTAATTTCACGGAGGCTTCTGTTGTCTCATTAACTGACATCATAAATATAGCAGACAAACCAAATGGTGCTCCAATGATTTAAAAAAGTAAGAACAACCATTAGTGCCTAGTTTAGTTAATCTCTGATCATCAACTTTTTAAGAAAAAGTGTTTTTTGAAAACATTGTGGTTAAACCATTGTTGGTGGTGACAAGACCACCTTTAAGGACGGGTAGATGTTTATTCACAGCAAAAGATGTTGCCAGCTAAGGCGATTGGTACCTAGTATGACTACAGGCAAAGTGAAATCTCGGTATCTCAAGTGGAAAGGGTGTGTGAAAAAGATGGTCCAAAAGCATCTCAGTCAAACCATGCCGTGTCAGCTTCATCGTAGACGTGTACTAGAGTGGTGTCACCCCTGAGCACGGGATGAGAATGATGCTGACAGTCTCCGCCTAATTACCAGTGGATCCTGGCATGTCTGAAAGAGGCAACTTCAGAAGGATCCTTTAAGGTTTCAAAGGTTTCAATTTTGATAAATATTTACCTCCATTGTGTACACAATTCCACTTTCGTACGTGTTACAACAACTACCTTTCAGTGAAATGAAGGAATTCTCAATGAATGGCATATGCCCGGTCCACGATTGGGTACTTGTATCTTTTAGCACATAAATTGTTTTGTTCGCTTTTTGGGGGTTTGATTTCCTTTCCGTCATGAAATCCTCAAACTTGCATTTCGCAAGTGCAAAGTTTATGTTAGGAACGATTAGAAATTGCTGCCTCATGTAACTTTGGAATTAAACTGAAAGTTAACTAAAATGTCATGCTTTTCACATAGATATCAGCAGTTGGGAGAACTACTATAGTTTCGTATAACGGGGCTTTGGGTCTTAATAATGAGAAGACTAAGTATGAGAGACAGTATTTAAAAACCGTGGTAACTCGAAGCCCTTGAAACAACCGAAATATATCGAGGAATTATTATATAAAGAAAGTATTCACTCATTATTGATGGTGGCTAAAATGAAAAAAAAAAAAAAAATGGTTATTCGATGGTGATGTATTTGATACGGGTACCATAGTAGTGTTTTGGACCTTAAGTTTGCAGTGTTTCGGCGACTGTTTTCAGTCTAGTAACGTTTGTGTTTTTGTTGGTCAGATCCAGTTTTCAAATGTGTACTTTCTTTTGACGGCAGACTAGTTCGAGACAAGAGGTGTGTCGATATTAGATGATTCAGCAAATAAGGATTCTTCCTAACCTATACAATCACATGTCTCAAACAACATCCCCAGTGGTTTGACCCATCCTCGATTATTCAGTGCATTATATATCCATTCAATTATGATCAATATCTCATAATATAAAATGAAGATGTGGTACACTGGATAAGCGAGGATAGGTTTCACTACATTAAGAATACGCGCTGCTTACAAAGACGTACTGTATCTTTGTCTGGGCGTATCACTAAAAAGTTAAAGCGTACTACCATTTATTCCAATAGACGTTTTGTGTTGTTATATGAGTCAGATTAGACCAATACGTTTGAGCAGCGTTTGTACTGACAATATTACACGGGAAGTCTAATTGCCCGTACCGGATAACATTTCACAACATCTGAAGAGGAATAGTTATATATCAACATTCAAGATTGTTTACTGAGTGTATATATAATGAGCCAATCTATTATTTACTTTGGTTGTGACAGTACACAAAACATAAATTGAAGGAATTATCGGTGATGTAACACAGAAATACATGAAATCTCATTAACTCGAAATCTTTGGAAATCCATACAATCAGACGGATTTCGAGACAAGCAGTACCGATATTTGACTTGACAGGCGCATACCATTTGCCTTGCTTTTGTAACCGAATCTATCTTGTTCATTATTTAAACAGTGTGTGCATTCAATGAGTCGCTGTTCTATCAATATTGATACTCCGGAACAGTGGGGTTGAACCTATGTAACTTGATGCACCTAACAAGTTCATATAAACAAATAATCTTATTCGACATATCGTAATGATATCGTCTTCAGCGACATGTCGAGGTAATAAATTTCGAGTTAAAGAAGTTCGAGTTAAGGAGTTTTCGCTGAAATCAACAACGATATACACGAAACACACTTAAGACCTGGGCCCAGTTCCACAAAGCGATCTTAGTTCTAAGACTGTCATAACTCCAATTCTTAAACATAGATTTACGTCAGTCGTAGCGCGGAGATCGGTTTTTTTCGGAATGGTACACAGATTCTTCCTCTGTTTGCCGATAGGTGGCGAGTTGTAAGGTATGGAACTCGAGATGAAATGTCAATCGTAAAGCTAACAACCTGTCTTTTGATGAGTAGTTTAAACATACATCTACACCAAATCTAGTTTTTCTCTATATTATCATGACTATTCGAGACAAGAGGTATGAAATATATGTTGGTGCAAATCGTATTATGTGAAATTATTGCTTGTGGTGGATATATCACAAGTTGTTACACTGTATATCATCAGGTGCAAAGTTCTAGGTGCATATATGGACAAACTCCCTTGAGTCGAGTCGGTGTTCTGATAGTATAATACATCTCTCGTGTCTTATTAATAACAAATGTCTCCATCAACGTGCACATGTGCACATCATAGTAAGCTTCAGGAGAGAAGGGATCTCGCGCCCCGGTGTACAGGTGAGCATCGAGGGGCAGGACTGTGTACAGTAACTATAAAGGATGATGTTGTCTTTGGGACAGGAGAGTCCCGTGGCCCTCGCTTTCCCAACACGGAATAGGGGTTGGCTTGTGTGCTTGAAGGACGAACCTCTACTAGATAAACATGGCGGTGATGGTCCTACCGTGTCTTATACTGAAGATGGATAGTAGATAGTGGCATCAGCGTTCGAAGTGGATGCCTAGAAGAGTTTCATCCTCCGGAGCACCTGTGTTACGTGTGTGTCCTCCAGATGCCGGATGTGTCTGGACAACCTCTGACATTGTCAAGGAGGAGTCTTTTCACTGTGGGAAGTTCACAAAGAGTGGTATTCACAGAGTAGATTTCAGACACGAGTGATTCGTCGGGCACGTTGTCCAAATCTTGCGCTTGACTAGGTTGCGGATCTCTGTGCAAGTCCGACATCTGCGAAGGACATGCCGACTGTTCAATGGCGTTTGATGACCTTGGTCTTCATAATTCGACCTTTTTCTGCAACCTTGTTCTCTGACTTGACCTACTGTGACCCTCTGCTGAGCAGGAGTAGAGACTTACAGGTCATGCGAAGGTCAGCTGTACCGTTTCTAGAACGCTTCGGGAACGTTTTCGGTAAGGTCATCTTCAGTTCTTGTTAAGAATTGAGGAACTCGGGTAGAGGCATGTAGATGTTAGTATTTTGACTTCACTCTATTTTGCCAACCTTCCTGCAAAGAAACGTAAGATACTTTATGATTGAAATTTGCAGATACGTACAAAACATGACAATCCCCCCAAACCAATTGCAAATTGCCAGCATAGTGTTCTGGTAATTGATGGAGATCTGTATCCTGCTTACGTGTGCATGTACGGCGTTTGTGTTATGTTCTTAGAGTGATGCAATAAAGCATACATGTGTAAAATGAATGAGACTTCTAATGTTGGATTTAAGAGGTACCCATGGCAACAGCAGTGTAAATCCCGAAACAAACGATAATTTGGTTCCATTGTAATTTGTCTATGTAGGTTGTAATATTCTGCTTACAAGCGTGGGGTATGTGGCTATTTTGATGTTCTACTGAAAGATGTATTTGAGAGTCTTGGTGTGTGGTCTATGTATGTCCAATGACAGGGATAACTTCGAAACCATTGTATTCTATGTTAGGCAATGAAAAAGATATTTCTCAAAATATGAGTATTTTTTAAACGACCAGATCACCAGACTGTTCGGCTCAGTTGGAAGAAAAACATTTCAATTCGTTACAAACCAAGTCATAGATCAGACAAAGAAAAGTAGCTGTTCCCTTAAATCTGGGGTAACTTGACATTCAAATAACAAATAATGAAACCGGATGTTTTACTAAATGTAACCAAATATCATCGATTGTTCTGAATATTTAAGTTTGGAAAGATCCACATGGTGCTGAGAAACATCTTAAAGTCTTGCCATGGTCTTTTTCGTTGATCGGTGTCATTGCAACACGTATGACGTCTATTGTTGGATGTGATGAGTCGGAACATTACCTCGCATTGTGGAATTTGTTAAAGGTACAATCACTATCATTCAAAATGAATTGGTTGAAACAAGAGCATACATAAACTACTGATCATTTGTGGAAACACTGGCTACGATATATGTACACATAAACATGACTCATCGCTTCAATCACAATAAGCAATCACCATAAGCTAGTTTGCTGTTGTTAGGCCACAACAATGCCATTATTTGGTCGTCGGATGTTTGATTAAAATTGAAGATTTTATTTATTTAACTGAATCAAATTCCAAATACAATACCAAAAAGCCCAAACGTCAAAAGGGCTGTTGCCCGTTGTATAAATCGCATAAGACTTGTCCAAACTACTCAATAAATCATAATCCACAGACATATATTGAGGGATTCAAGGGTTTTTCTTTATATCTTTTTCAGAACCTTGGTTCGAGTGATCTTCCCACGGATGTTACATTGTAGTTACATGTTAACGTTTAATTTTTTATTTGCTAAATGACGCACTGAACAATTTTCCAGCTCTATGACGACGGTATGTAAAAAAAAATCGAGTCTGGACCAGGCAATCCAGTGACTGATATTATGAGTATCCACGGCGTCGGGGTACGATGACTCGCAATCAACCAAGTCTCCGAACATGACTACCTTATCAGTTAAGTCGCCTATAACGACCAGCATAGGGTGCTGGGGACCAATGCTAATCCGGAATCAGACCGTGAGTTTAATAGAACCACGCAATTCCGACGAACAAACAATTAATTTGTTGTGTCCTTAAGCTAAATGTGTGACACGCTCCACTACCACAACACCGATGTAATTACAACACATTAATGTCACTGTGTAATTGTTCTGACATTTTGTACAATACTTACCTCACAATATATGAGAACATAACAAGACAACATCACAATATTCACAAGGAGTGTCGCATGTGAGCCGTGTCTGGCTGCAATTGATACCACTGTCATTAAATCATTTATCCACCTTTGTCAGAATTCCTTTCGGCATGTTCCGTAGACCTTACATTCTATTTATGTGCCCTTGATTTATCTTAGATGTTTAATCCTAGTTTGAGTGGGCGAGATCCATTCTGTAAATTATGAAGACGTTGTAAATTTATAAAAATATACAGACCACCGGCAATGTATCTTTGACCGCGTTTTGTTTCTGCTGAATTGTTACAGAGCAATTGTTAAATGGGAGATATGTAGATTAGTTAATTTTGTTGTTGACAAAAGTGATTTGACAAGTTGAGGGTGGGGCTCTTTAGAAGACTGAATGTTTATCAGAAATGAATACCTAAAGAATTTAACTTATATCCTTGCATCCTTTTGGGGAAGATTGCTGCCAATGAGTCTGTAGATGAGTCTTCAGTGGCCGCAGGTTGTTCGCAAGGGGGCATTAGGATAAGATATGTATGATCGAGGGCTGTGTGAGTCATCTGATTGAGGAGTGTGCGTTGTATGACAGATTGGTTGTGGGTGGTCTGACCGAGGATTTGTGCGTGGTCTAACCGAGAGGTTGTGTATGGTGTGACCGAGGGATTGTGACGTGATCTGACCGAAGGGTTGTGACGTGGTCTGACCGAGGGATTGTGACGTGGAATGACCGAGGTATTGTGACGTGGAGTGACCGAGGGATTGTGACGTGGTTTGACCGAGGGATTGTGACGTGGTGTGACCGAGGGATTGTGACGTGGTGTGACCGAGGGATTGTGACGTGGTGTGACCGAGGGATTGTGACGTGGTGTGACCGAGGGATTGTGACGTGGTGTGACCGAGGGATTGTGACCGAGGGATTGTGACGTGGTGTGACCGAGGGATTGTGACGTGGTCTGACCCAGGGATTGTGACGTGGAATGACCGAGGGATTGTGACGTGGAATGACCGAGGTATTGTGACGTGGTGTGACCGAGGGATTGTGACGTGGTCTGACCCAGGGATTGTGACGTGGTGTGACCGAGGGATTGTGACGTGGAATGACCGAGGGATTGTGACGTGGTGTGACCGAGGGATTGTGACGTGGTGTGACCGAGGGATTGTGACGTGGTGTGACCGAGGGAGTGTGACGTGGTGTGACCGAGGGATTGTGACGTGGAATGACCGAGGGATTGTGACGTGGTGTGACCGAGGGATTGTGACGTGGTCTGACCGAGGGATTGTGACGTGATGTGACCGAGGGATTGTGACGTGGAATGACCGAGGGATTGTGACGTGGTGTGACCGACGGAGTGTGACGTGGTGTGACCGAGGGATTGTGACGTGGAATGACCGAGGGATTGTGACGTGGTGTGACCGAGGGATTGTGACGTGGAATGACTGAGGGATTGTGACGTGGTGTGACCGAGGGATTGTGACGAGGTGTGACCGAGGGATTGTGACGTGGTGTGACCGAGGGATTGTGACGTGGAATGACCGAGGGATTGTGACGTGGAATGACCGAGGGATTGTGACGTGGTGTGACCGAGGGAGTGTGACGTGGTGTGACCGAGGGATTGTGACGTGGTCTGACCGAGGGATTGTGACGTGGTCTGACCGAAGGATTGTGACGTAGTCTGACTGAGGGATTGTGCGTGGTGTGACTGAGGGTTGTTCGTTGTGTGACCGAGGGTTGTGCGTTTCATTACTAAGTATTGTACGTTGTTTGACACGGGACTGTGCGCTGTCTGGTACGTGTGTCTAACCGAGGGATTGTGACGTGGTCTTGTGCGTTGTCCGGAAGAGGATTATAACTTGTCTAGGAGAGAGATTGACAGTTGTCTTGGAGATTGATTGTGCGTTGTCTGGCCGGTGGTTGCGCGTCGTCTGGAAGATGGATTGTGACTTGTCTGGGAGAGGGATTGTACATTATATGACGTAGGATTGAGAGTTGTCCGGAAGACGGATTATGCGTGGTCTGATCCTGGAACTGGGGATGTCAGAGGGATTGTTGTGCGGATGGTAGCAAGTCTTAACGGTGATTGATGGCTTGTGTATGTGGTAGGTCGTGTTATAATTTACAGTTGGTTGTGTTGAGTGAGGGTGGCAGTGTCTGGATACTTCATTAATGTTCTTAATATTGTTTTAACCTTATACTTTCAGGGTCAAATAAAATATACACTCTTTCATGAAGAAAGATGGTCCCTTAACATGAGATAAAATATTTTCAATCTTGTATTTACTACGTTCTATGTCGTGAGCACGAGATACTACGCTGTGCGCATCAATTGTCATGTTGTACGCACAGAATGCTATTTTGTGCACAACTGAATTACTGAATTATGGACGCAAGAATTAGTGTTTCCGTTAGCACACTTTACCTATTTCTTGTTGAGGATGTAAGTAACGGTTCGTGTTACATACGGGTGCTGATGTGTTCAGGCAACCCAAGGATTACACCTGACCCACATAGTATTCGAGTGAGTGAGTGAGATGGGTATAGTACCACCTTAATTCAGTTATATCACGCCGTGACAAATACGTTTATCACTTTGGTGCATCCAAATATGCTCGTCAATGGAATGAAAGACGACTGAGCATTATCGGGGCGATGATCTGGGAATCGAACCAATTACCAATAGATCCTGACAAATTAAGAAAAGAACTGCACATTGTGTTGTGAGTCAGTGAGTCAGTTGGGTTTTACGCCAGCAATATCTCGTCGGGGGACACCAGAAAAGCGCTTCATACATTGTACCAATGTGGGAAGTCGAACCCTGGCCTTCGGCGTGAAAAACGAACGTTTAACCACTAGGCTACCCATCACCCTCTTTATCTTTAACCCAAAACCTGTTTCGAATGGATAGAGTGTGCGCTCGAATGACACTTGTGCATCAGTACATAGCTCGTGCGTACAACATTATGCAACAAAGAGTACACACAACATAGTACGTCGTACTCACCACCAACTTGTTCGCACAAAATAAAAATAGTTTTTGCTCGTATCCCTTAAGCAATCATTAAGTTAAGAATGATAAATAAAAATAGCAAAATATAAAAGTTGTCAGCTGAATGGATCATGAACCTTATAAACCGAAGGGATTAGTGATACACGCACTCGCAAATCTCTGGTCTTGTGAATAAACATTGGCGAAGCATTCCGGAAAAAGCGAAACTATTTAAGAAGGAAAATTAGAGACGCGAACCAAACACATCTATATTCTAATGTTACAAAATTGCATACAAATTTCAGATGGACTACTAACATAAAAAATACCCATCACGTCTCGTTCGTTTCCGTCAACATAACAATTCATCACATAGGTTCCAGAATTAAACGAGAGGAGACGAATGAATACAACAACGTAAAAAAACAACAACACTGTGCACAACTCGACAATTTCCGAAGAAGAAGGACACAGACGAAAATAAACGAAAGCATGGGATAAAGCAATGGCGAAAAGGTACGACTACCATTCAGAGAAGTCCAAATATGTACACACGGTTGTTAGTAAACGGTTTTAAGTAAGCGAGTCTATTCAGGCGGTTGATGAGGAATTACACAGGGTCACTACTTCACTAAGTCACTGAAGCATAAGCTGGGTTTCGAATCTTTAAGTATGAGACTGACCCATTTTCCGTGTTTCGCAGATTTCTGTGGGATTCCTTCACTTACGGAGACTTATGGAGTATCTAAAAGGAAAATAAGGATTATCCACGTGACTAGAGTTTCCTCCAACCTATCGTGGTTATCTCCCCTGATTCATGATGTCACAAAGGATAAATAGGATGCTTAGTGTTAGTGTGCAGTTAGTAATCAATGTACGTGAAAAGTAATACAGGATAAATCAGTTAACAACAATTATGCATATAAATAAAACATTTGGTATTGAAACCATAACCTTAATATCAGTATTTATTTGTTTAAAAACATTGTATGGATTAATATTGTATATATTTTTGTAAATTTCAAATAGATTTGAGACGTACAATGCGCAGGCCACATCAGCTTAACTACTTGTTCGTCGGAATCGCAACTCATAAACTAAAATGAATAAGGTCAATTAACTTATTTTCCAAATACAGTTTAAGTGTTACACACTAATACTAGGGTTGATTAATTAGTTCAAAGCCTCACATAGGAGAAATTGCGAAATCTGTTGTTGTGACTTAATCACTTCATGTTACTCAAGTTTGTCCATATTCCAAATGTCACAAACCCCTGCCAAATTTACAGACGTGTCACAGCGAGATAACTTGTAATCATATAATCTCCACAACAAATGATTTCAGATTTTCAGATAAAAGTTACAATTTTTTTTACATTTTTCAATATCCTCCTCCATGCTTATATGTCACACAAGAGACTCCGACGAAAAAGTAATTATCTTAATACTAGAAATATGAATAGAAAATAAAACCGTAGAAAAACAGAATTATTGAAAACATAGATAAGTGTCCTTATGAGCTCAGATGTTGTTATGTATGTAATAGATATGCATAGAGACTGACAGATATGGATAGATAGTGGATTGTCGTGGAACACTCGGGTGTGTTTTAGAGACATGCTGAAATGCAAGGATTCCGTTTCAAAGGACGTTATACACAGAATCATCCAACATATCTGACCAACAGGACTGCTACTCAGAGGCGCCAGGTAAAAAGTTATATTGTATTATTTATAATTGATTCCCCGGAATAATAACAACTAGCTAATGGTTCGTATAAATGATTAAACTGGTCTTCACATGTGCATGTCATAAGTAAAAGTTTATCTAAACTAGAATACACACCCGTGTATACTTAAATATACAAATTACAGGATATTTCATTAAAACCAATATTGGACGACTCTTAACAATTTGGGTTTTATTTGGTTGCTAAACTGGCTGCACGTTGGAAAACAAATGAAACAACTGGCCAGAGTGCCCCGAGTGCGAGATCGGTTCCGCTGGAAGCGGTCGTAAAACCGTCAGATTAAGAAGAAGAAGGTTCACGTCTGATGCTAACACTACCACTACATCAGATGCTAGTAATACACCCCCAGCCAGATACAATGTACTCTAGAATGTTGTTTGATAACCAGACGAGCATATGGAATGTACAAATATCCAAGTGCAGAGGTGACTGAAACGTGATAAACAAGCACTATAAAGATAACATAAAAAGTTAGGAGTGCAATTAATCATACTAGCTGCACGGTGTACGAAGACTATATAATCCAGTATAGCAAAGCATGGTATGATAATGAGTGATTGAGTTAGGTTTTACGCCGCATTACAGTATTACAGTTATATCACAGCGTGTCACGTCAGTGTGTGAGGAATCTGACACTGGTCGTAGAATTTTACCACTTTGGTTGAATCCAAGAGCTCTGTTCTGAGAAAACCAAGATTCATAATCGGTCCGAGACTGGGATTCGAACCCAGAATCGGAGGATCCGGGATGATAAGAAGATACACTCATGCTTCTTTCTATTAGATTATGCTAAGATATGTCACACTGATTGTAACCTATTTTAGTTAGTGTATAACGGAATCAGAAAGCTCTGGACATAAAGGTGACATACATACTTTATACTCCCTATCTTTCTGGGCCATTATTCGTCGTTTCTTGTAAGGCTGGAACAGAATAAGAGAAAATGCAGATATCTCAAAACTACTGGGCCATGTTAATACACGTTCGTATCTGCTACATGCCCCAAAGTGGGTTTTAACGTCGCGTTAAAGATAATTTCACTAATATAGCGAAGTGCATGCACGTGTTTGTGTGGCTGCTTTTCCTCCCCGGACTAATGCCTGGTTTTTCTTGCAAGCACACTGATATATCATGCTGCCGTTCAACATGGATACCCAAATCAGACACATAATACTGACTCCAAGCCGACTAGTCTTTTTCATCTCTTTAATGCCGAGTGCCAGCCAGGATAACGACAAGTACCATCTTTTAAAGTCTATTGATCTGAGGCGGTCAGGGGATCGAACCGCTGACATTCAGCTCTTATAGCAGACGCTGTATCCACAAGTCCAGGGGGGTGGTTCCTCATGTTAGCACATAGAGGGAAGTTTGGTCCGAGGTATGGTTGTACATCGATTTAACATTATCATGTTTAGTCTACAATCTCATAGCAGTTACTCTGTTAACTGATCTGTATACAAATACACTGTGGATGTTGTTGTACTTCATAGTTAACGTTTTCATCATGAATATCGAGTTCTATCTCAATTATAAGTTTGCCAGTGAGTATGTCGACTATATCGCTTTGAACAGTAATTCAGTCATATCAGTTTAATACGGGAGAAAAAAACCCCAAGTGACCCATGATGACAAGAGCACGGGTATAGTGCTGACAGCCCGACGGTAATAATGGGAGAACCTCGAATATAATCTACAAGCGGCTTCTGGAACGGTTAGGGGACGTAACTCTGTACATCGGATTGCGGCGCCTTAGACCTACAACTTACAATAAATCGTTTCTTCATAGTAGTATTGTGTAATTTTACTTACTACTATATATATTGCCAGCATGAATCCGGCGTTGTAGAGGATGTACAGGGCTACGAGTACAGACAGGACTATAACCTCCACCTTGTCGGCGTGCTCGCGGTCCTTCAGCAACGTCGTCACAATGCCGTGCCACGCACACACCGTCGACAGCATCACCATTGACGTTAGTAAATATTTATCCTGAAAACATACAATTGTCAAGAACAAAAGGACATTTGGAATGCGTTGCTGAAATATCGGCTGTTTAGTGCGATGCGTATCATTAGGAAATAAAGCACGTTGTTAAGACCGTTGATAAGATAAGTGAATATTTATCCTGAAAATGTGCCATTGTTAAAGGAGAGGTTATCTAGTGTGCATGAACTTTACCTCTCGGGTACAGTCAACCTTCGTTTAGTTGGAGGCCTGAGGACTTTCGAAATCTTTATCTTTCTCGACATATCCGTCGTTCGGGACAAACGGAGTTAGGATTACAATGCCGATTATAATAATAATTTATTCATCAAGTAGTGTAGGCAATATACCAATTCTACATTACAGCGTATACACAAATCGTAATCGCTTTGCTTTGAAAATGAAGCTAGCAAAGTTTTCCACAGTGGTACATCAGTTAAAGACATCTAACTATTTAACTTGTAATGCCAATTAGAATACTGTCGGGGCCTACTATAGAGATTGACCTGTACTGTACGCAGGACACTTTGAGCTTTGGGATTCGGTTATCCCGAAGTTATTCTGCGGGTGCATATTGTGGTCTATATTGTGGAAACTACAAAATCCGGTAAGAAGAGGTTGATCTTTAAAGAGTATTTCAGCCATATTGTAATATTGCAGCACATTGTGTGATGAATACTCAAATGGGTCAGGTCGTTGACCTTAATATCTTTGGTGAAATGCGTGATCACGGGTATGGTTCTGACAAAGTAAAGATCAGAATCAGGCCTGAACTAAAGAACAATCGATGTGTCGAAGGGCGAATTGCGGCACAGCCAACTGCAGAGTGTTCCATGGACGGACGGTTACCTTCCTTGTTCACGACGACACCCGTCAACACAATCTGTTTGTGTCCGAGAGTGGCCCTCTGCGTCCATCTTCGATTATACATATATTGCTATCATAAACCCTGGACACATTCGCCACCATGGCTTCATTTGGAACTGACGTCAAGCTTTCCTCACGCTCAAAAGAGTAATTTGATTGGGGGCATTTTTTGTATTCGTTCCATCGAGGTGAAAGTGAGGCTGCGGTGGCGAATGGGTCCAGGGCATTCATCATAATATAGACATGTGAACACCTTAGACGCTCATCTGACGACATGCATGTATGTACATGATGACACGTACCATATAGGTAAGGTAGGATATCCTCGGTAGACTCTGGTTGACGACCGACTTGAAGGCAACGGCAGTGAGGACAAGCGTGAAGGAGAGCTGAAGCCGGTTCTGGGGTAAATCCTTCTCTACACTGAACGTGGCGAATGCCAGACTGCAGATGAGGAACTGAAAGAAGGGGGAAACACATGAGGCGGAAGTAGGAATCCTTGACCAAATGTAGTATGCTGTAGAGAATAAAATTGAATATCGACTGAGGGAGGATTTTGATATTTTGGAACCCTCCCTATTACAAATACTGAATCCGCCCTTGGTGGGAAGCCCAGTGCTGTGCACGTCCTAGGTGTCTTTGGTGAACCGAGGAGGGCTGGTGCTGACAAACCAAGAAGCATAAGAAGGGCGAATCTGGGAATGGAACCCACGATCACAGGGTCCTGTCAGGCCTAAAGCGAATTGATGTATCTCAAGAGACACGAGTGTCCCTTGCGCAAATGTTACAGAAACACGAGTGCTTATAAATATTTTAAACTGAATCAGAAATTTGTATATCTGTAGTGAAACATATTAAGCACGATATCAAAGGGACCATCGGAAATATGTCGTCGTTCAATACAAGCGGAGTGCAGATATACAATTGTATCGATAAGACTTCTGTCGCAGCCAGAAAGTTACATCGCCTGAAACTATATGTCGAGAAAACGAGGTTTCAATGTATTGGAATTTTCAAGAAAAGGAACAACAAGCCCACAATGTCAACAATCTCATTAGAACCAGATCTCAGTTCTCGTTACCGATATATAAAGATCTGAGGACATCCAATTACGGGTCACGTCAGAACGACCTTCAGCGAACTTTGACCGACCAGTGAAATGACTAACAAAAAGACGAAATGTCAATCAGAGAGCAGCTTTCTCGAGCTTTACGACACTAGTATCAAACTGGCGACTTCCGTTTCAGACTAGCTTAAAAATATGTTGACAAAGTTCTCGATTAAAATATATTTTGTTTATCTATTTTATTGACATATAATATAATAATAGTATATGGTCGAGATTGTATGGCAGTACTTCGCACGTGCTATGCAACGTCCCTTCCGTTTGAATGCTTATCCCACTGAAGCGAGAGATTGACGGTGAGTTGGACGGAATCAGTAGTACAGGCTACAACTGTCGTTCGGAATACCCCGTGTCAACATATTCAAGGTAGCATGATTAGAAAACACATTCCGTCACTGTCGCTTTCCGGTTCTGATAAGCGACGCGCTGATTGGCCGGATGAAAGGTCGTTCAAGACGTGGTGGGATGTCCTCGGATCTTTGTTTAGCGGAAACGAGAACTAAGATATGATTTTAATGAGATTGACAGTGTCACACATGTTCAAATTCTAGTGACACATGATTTTGATATTTGACTCACATAATACCAAACAAATAAACAAATGGCAATAGCGAGGATCATTGTCCTTAAAGAACACGACTGGGCATTTAGTTGGTGTGAATAATTTAGGTTAATTTTTTAAATGAATTATGATACAAAAACTTTTAGTAGATATTCGGTTCCGAATAATGTCGTTTAACAATTTGCATTTTTTCACGCCATGATATTTATCGAAACGTTTACATTACGCCATCTGACAAGATTACTGATGCGGTAAGTCAGTCAAAACTCCAATACTTTAACATTATAGTCGTAGTCATGGCTTTGGATGTTTGGTAAATACCAGACCAGACCAGACCAGATAATCCAGTGATTGATATTGTGAGCAACGATCCACACCGTCGGGGTACGAGAACAGCTGTCACCCAAGTCACCAAGCATGACCTCCTCGTCCACGTGGTCGCCTCTTGCGACCAGCTTAGGTCCCTAAAGACCTTTTCTAATCCGGACTCCCCACAGCAACATAGAAATGACAAGATAATCACGACTCTAATACCTGATCCAAGAATAAAGCACACAACAACCTTACCGTCACCATGAATATATTCCATACAAAGTAACCGGGCCTTCTCGCTGCTCGGCACTTGACGGAAACTGCCGATCTCTTAACACTATTGTCCGCTTGGTCAATGACAATGGCTTTCTTCTCACACTCCGTGTGTACATATAGATGCCACTCTTGCTCGTCCACGAAGCTTTGTCTATTCACCATATGTCTGTTCTCAGAATCCTCAACAATCTCCACCTCGTAGGAGGGAAACTCAGAAGCCACAGTAACAGTCAAATCCTTTGGAAAAAAACAAACAAACCAGTTTCAATTGTAAACGCCACATCAATGAAACATTGTCATCAACAGAGACGGTGCAATGTTGCTCATTCCTATAAACACAGCCTTCGTAAACAGTTGAGTATTTTGGCTATGATATCTCGTCAACAACCAAATATATCAGCTAATAATGATTTAGTGGCTGTTCTTTAACCCTGTAGTTTTTTGACAAATATAAATATAGGATTTTGGACAATGCATCAGTAGTATATGAACATCGACTGTACGATGGCACACTTGTAATTGTGAAACACCCCTAAACAAAACCCTTTTCATAATCACTCTGCCAAAATCAGTGTACATTGTACGATTCCGACCATATCATATCAAATAGTAATGGTATCAGGGGTTCGCGAAAAGGTGACCCCCGGTGGCACCCGTCACAAACACATGCAACGGCAAGTCAAGAGTTCATTCACATGAACAAACAAGGAAACAAATAGTATAAGTCAAATTAGGGAATTGCATCGGATATCCTTTTTGTCACCGAAGCGTCAAATTTGGACATTCCTCTCAATGTTTACAAAAGAAGTTTTTGAAGGCTTTGCCGAAGCCTGGAATGGTGTAACCTTGAAAATCGTCATAGAAAGAGCATGCTCGATTGTACCCTAAAACTAAATGTAGACAACAGGGGATGAAGCTGTTGGATAATTGCTAAAGTCAGCTCTCTTGTTTTACAGTTTTGTGGAGAGTTTTGTTGTCACTCTGTAAATAAGTGAAAGTGTCATTATGACTGGTGCATAAACGATGTTTCCGCAAATCCAAGAGAACTAAACGTTGAATAAGATACGCTTCATGCTAACAAAGATTACATTAAACCAATCGGCAAAAGAAGGTATACATTTGAAAATTGGATTTGAAAAATATACAAACGTTATCAAAACGTTACTTGCCTCAAAGAAGTCGCCGAATCTCTATGAACTTAAGGCCCAAAACACAACTATTATACCCGTATCAAATACATCACCATCGAATGACCATGTTTTGTTTGTTTCATTTTCAACCACCATCAAACATGGCCGTATACCTTTTTTTGCCCAACAGGGTTCCTTGACAAAGACGTCGCTATATAAGTGCAATAATCTTGGACGCGACGTTAAACCCAATTTCACCTCACCTCACCTTGACAAAGAAATGCACTGACGAGACGAGTTCATATATTATTGGTTATTTATATTTATTTTGCGACAGTTTTATTATAACATGTCTCTTTTGGTCTATGTAGCTCACTAAATAATACCGACCGTTGTTTATTGTTCAACTATGTAGATCCCTGATGAATACGGGTCATTGTCCATGACCTTGTACTTTGGGTTGGGTTGTAATCGAAGGAATGCAAGTGGATGTTGTTTTTGTGCTTAAATAACTTCTGCGTTATCTTAAAAACAACTCCTGCTCGCCAATTTACAAGTAGACACAGTCTTAAAACATCTAATCTTTTGCCAATGTTGTTTTTGCAAACAGGTAATGCGAACCTTTGACGTTCCAGCGTTGCCCGCAAGAGGATACGCGGGATGAAGACTGTTGTGAGAGACGTTCCACAAAAATATATCAAAATAGGTGCTGGGGCTTTTTTCAAATTGTTCCAGAATCAACTAAATTAATAAAATGTTCGCTGGGTATTGAATTGTTCGGCTCCACCTTTCACACTAAACACATATGGAGTCCCACTTACCGAACCCCAATATCAAAGGCTGGCACAAATCATTGACGTTACTTATTATATGTGTGTCAACTTTATTACTGGACAATGCTTCGAGCAGATTGACTGGCGAATTGTTTTGAATTTCTGTAAGGACGCCCCTTAGCAACTTGACGTCATATCAGTACACTGAAGAGAAAGAATGGAAACATTAACTGTTCGCTTTCCGCGTGATACTGTAAGGCATCTGTTCTCCATTTGTTGGCAATCACCACCAACATACATGTACATCTCACATATCACAACTGTATGCGTGGAATAACGTAATCGTACTTCGAAAATAACGAAGACTGCCCTACACAAAGGCACAGAACATACAAAATTAGTTCACTAGGGAGAGATCATTTGTATTTCTCCGTGTGTCGTTAATACAAATACACATTAAGAGAAGTCGTTTACTTGCTATCAACGTAAAGTACAACAATTTCACGCTCTTGGTAGAATTTTAATTCGTTTAATTGTCTTGCAGTTCTATTCTCAAGTGCAAGGATTCCGCCCAGGAGGTGCTGCATATTTTTTTCTTATAATGTAGTATGCTGGACGTTTTTCTGTGGAGTCACTGAAGATATGTATTTTAAATAGAATGCTTTGAACACGATCGCGGCAGAGTCTTCGATGTTGGGAAACAAACGAGGGATTAACCTCTCTACAAATACCCGAGATGAGGAAACAAGATTCAGAGTGGCAAAATAGTATCCACAAGACTGTATGACAAGAGAGATGAATTCAACTTTCCAATGGTCAACATTCGCTGTATGTCCAGCTGTATTCCAGCAACTCCAGCTCCATTTATCCAATTACATTTCACGTGTTTTAGGTATTATGGAGCATACTCTTTGTTCGAAGATTTCAGGGTGTCATTCTACTTTAGCTCGAAGGTTGTTTAATCAGGGTTACAGCATTCAAGGCCTTGTGACTTTGAAACAAATATGGTAGACATGTAGAGGGCATTCCAAATTTGACACATCAATGTAAGATGTAATTGTGACTTGTACAGTATGTTTAGGCGAACATTTGCCTTCGTCAAGCTTCCAAAACGTGTGTGACTGGTGAGTCATTCCTTGGAAATTGTGTGAGTGACAGGTGGTCCCGCGGTGCATGACATGTTACCAAACACATAGTGCCATCCCTGATTTTCAGTGATCGATTCATATAATTTTCACCACTATTTTGCCTTTTACGCTCAATGGAATCTATTGCGGCAGATAATCGAGGCTGGTTTTCTCTGGCGTTGACGATTTTAATTATTATGGTTGACATCGACACCCAGTTTAAGAAGAAATCTCCTATCCCCGTTCGGGCTCCGAGGCAGGTGTCGTTTAGCTATGTTCAGGTAAAAAGGATGGATTGTCACGGCAGGAGTAGTATTTGACTGACTGTGGATAAACGTGTGTATATAATTGATGCGTCACCTTCATTATCTATGGCCACAATAAATTAATTATTAGAATTCCATACATACAGATGGGAGGCAGAGGAGATTCACGTGAAGCACGACAGTTTGGTTGGACTACATATGATGTGTTTCATCTGCATAGATATTTTTTTTCGTCTGTAGTTATTTGGGTACATTAATATGTTGTGAGGCGGGATATATGGCTGAGAGGCGGACGGGGACGAAAATCTAAAAAAATGTTTTATCATGGCCTACAGGTTGCAAAATAGAGTGCCCTATGTTCCGGTATTTCCGTGTGAGTCTTGGAAATTCTCAACATTAATCATTGAGTAAGTTATACCACCCAACAGTTGCTAAGAACAGTACGATGTATTGTGAAGAATCAATAACGTCTCGTTATCAGAACAATTGGTTGATTTCTTATAATAGCAATGGGCGATATACAGAATAACCGTATTATTTGTTCCTCGCGTCTGAACGTGTTGACGTTCTCCAAAGCACATTATTAATTCAGTTAGATCGTCAATATTTCTTCGTAGGTCGTTGGATATCCTCTCATTAACCTACACAATTACGCCTCATAAAAAGATAATACAGAGTTAAAGGGATAAAGGATGTAACTAGCTGAGGATAGGTAAACAGTTGACAGATAAAAGATAAACATGATATGTTCTCAGATTTGCAAGTGTTCCTTGGAATCATATACGAATTCCGTCATCAAATACTCAACAACAAGTGCAAATCCGCATATTGTTTTACGACATTGTACATACAAGAGGCATTGGAAAATTCCCATGGCAATAATTTTTGGCAGGTATTCAAACGGCTGTGAGATTGAAATGAATTCACGCTGGAATATATTGGTCAGTCTGTGTCAAAGTTCGGGAGTTACGACAGTCGAAATCCAGATTGCGAGCATACTACATTAGTCAAATTAAGCAAACAATGAATAAAAGCAAAGTTAATATAAAATATAATAAAATATTAACCAAACTATAAATATAGTGAATAATTTGAGTATAACCAACGGGCTACGAAGAATTATGAATGATCTGTCCTAAGTGAATGAATAATGTTAATCCCCAGTCTGGGGAGGGACTAACTATATTCATTCACGAGGGACATATAATCCGTAATGCCGACTTCCGGGTAGGTTATTGTTAAAAAATTATATTTCTCATCGACTTTTAAAGAGACACAATGAAGAAAACACCGTATGAAATATCAACCCTACAAAAGGCAGCCCCTCACAATTAAGCACTGTGGCTTCAAATGACCGATCAATATTGAGAATCGCTGAAATGAAATATCGGAAAGTTGTTACACACGATAACTCTAGTGCCCTTATGGGTAATATTTTCCGTGTCACAATACCCAGGACGCCATTTTACACAGCGCCGGTTCGGAAGTAAAATATATTTGCTGAGAAATAGAAGATATTTAACAAAAAAATAAATTCTCCGAAAACAATCCAATGTTCCCCGGTCTTCAAGTCTCATTTAATCACCGTTTTCAACCAACCCGATTGACGCACCTAACCACACTTTCTGGCTATTTATTTTTTGTTAGCAGTAGGTCAGTACAGTAAAGAACCAGGTGTCCGACATAATTACCACTCCTCTTGATGAGGATGGATTTACCATTAACACTGCACTAAATCCGGTCAGAGACGGGTATTTGGAGGATGTAGAGATGGAGGGACTTGTAAAATATTAAGACAGTGTCGCCCGGTGCTTACGATCTAGTTTGTTACAATAGTTACACACCAAGCGCATGTATAATCTGTCTTGCTGATATCTGAATTACACAAAGTTCCATACAATGAGTATTGTGGAATTTGTACTATACCTACTAAAACTGAAACCAAATGACTGCCCTGAAAGAAATATACATGTCGTGTGACGCTTTACACGTTACTTGTAAGTTCAGCAGAAGTTTTGAGCAAAAATAGCTAATCTTATCAGACAAACCACACCGTTTTAAGGATTACATATATTAATATCTGGTCACCGTTTGACATTTATACATTATTGGTATTATATGTTTTAATGTTTGATATATTTTATTTGCAGCTGTTGTATTTGTTTGTTCGTTTAAAACTTCCTTCTCAATCAGTCTGTCGTAAGAGGCGACTAACGGGATCGGGTGGTCAGGCTCGCTGACTTGGTTGATGCATGTCATCGATCCCAATTGCATGGATCGATGCTCATGGTATCAATCACTATGTTGTCTAGTCAAGACTCTATTATTTACAGACCGCCGTCATAGCTGGAATATTGCTGAGTGCGGCGTTAAACAACAAACCAACCAACCAAGGAACTCAATCAGTTTTAACAGTATTCCAGTTATATCACAGCGTGTCAGCTTAATGTGGGAGGAAAACCCCAAGAGATGTAGGTCTCGTGCTGCGTGTATATCTGTGCTGGAAAGCCACTCATCATTGTGTTTGCGAGGTCAGATTGTTTATTTGTTTGTGTATTGTCTAAGTATGAATATTTCCGGAACGTTGCCGATCTTGTCTTTCATTGCCCACAGAGATAATTCCCGGAGACACCACAGTGTCCGTGGTTTGACATGACATTGGCAAAGGTGAATCCAACATGCAATGACTAGATTGAGTGTGTATGGTTTTACGCCGCTCTTAGCAATATTCAAGCAATATAACAACGGGGGGCACGAGAAATGGGCTTCACACAGTGTACCCATGTGGGGAATCGAACCTGATCATAAGTATTTCCTCTCACGTAACTCGGTAACTGCCAGCCTTTCACTTTGATGGTACATGACATAAAAGGGAATTGTCAACTGCATAAATGTATATCAAACGTCCACGGAGAAGTATAATCAGTCTCGATTATCCGCCGAATCTGATTACATTGCAAGAAAAAGGCAAAATAGCGGTGACAATCATACGAATGGATCACTGAAAATCAGTTCGCAAAAGGGGTAATCTCTTTTGTCATTAAGGTTTGTGAACTGACGTCTAATATCTCGAATTAAGAGTGAATGCGTTTGAGTGTATCAGTGCTCTGAACACGTTTTTAATTATAACACGTGTATCAGCCTAAAGTGACCCTCTTTGAGGTGAAACCCACGAGAACGGTGCCAGATAGCAAGGTATCACATTTTTGTGAATACAAACACCTAGTTAACCTCTACATCAAATGGGAAATTATCGAGTTCTTGTGAATATGGACACCTAATTTACCTGCACATTTAATGTAAGTTTGGAGTTCGTGAAAATATATATTACACACGCACAAAATGATAAATATCGAGTTCTTGACAATATATTCTCAATATGTTCTCAGCTTTTAAAGGTAGACACCTAATTTATCTGTATATCAAATGGAAAGTTATCAGGTTCTTGAAAATAGACACCTAATTTACTTGTACATGACATGGAAAGCTATCAGGTTCTTGAATATAGACACCTAATTTACCTGTACTTCAAATGGAAAGTTATCAGGTCCTTGAAAACAAACACTTAATTTATCTCCTACATCAAATGGAAAGTTAGCAGATATTTGAAAATATACACCTAATTTACCTGTATATCACATGGAAAGTTATAAGGTTCTTGAAAATAGACACCTAATATTTACCTGTACATTAAATGTAAAGTTATCAGGTCCTCGTAAACAAACACTTAATTTACATGTACATCAAATGGAAAGTTAGCAGATACTTGAAAATATACACCTAATTTACCTGTATATCAAATTGAAAGTTATAAGGTTCTTGAAAATCTACACCAAATTGATCTGTACATCAAATGGAAAGTTAGCAGACTCTTGAAAATAGACACCAAATTTACCTGTACATCAAATGGAAAGTTAGCAGATAGTACTTGAAAATATATACATAATTTACCTGTACATCAAATGGAAAGTTATCGAGTTCCAGGTTCTCCATGAACGTCCCCTTTATGATTCTTTTCTCCGACACAAAGCATTCCCCCCTGTTGTTGAACGTAAGGCGGTGACGCAAGATCTCCTTAGGGTCTCCTATCGTGTTTTCGATGTACAGTTTGGGGTTCCAGTACTTCTGAAAGTCCTGGATGTCTCCTGCCTGAAATATTAAAGAATCAGATGCATTAGCAAACTATGACCTGATATTGTTTTGACTTCTGTTATATTACGGCGTATCGGCTTAGTCAACTGAAAAACCGTATTGAATGCATGGAATGGTACTGACAGACTATAGATCCTAATCGGGTCAAACCTTTGGATTCGAATCCACAATCAGCGGATCCTGGTTGAGCAACACAGAGCAACAGGGCCACATGTGCCTCTGAATATAAATTTAAGCGACAAAACAGCTTCCTTTTATAATAATAAATCAGAGTTTAAAAGACAACATAATCAAAATTCTAAATGTATTTGCAATATCAGCCATATTACATTAATAAATCAAAATGAAATTAGAATATATATTTAGTTCAAATGTAGAATCACGTGGAATATGAGTCAGTGAGACAATAGAGAAATATAAAATCAAAGTTAGACGTTGATCGTTAGAACTTTATGAAAATGAAATATAATTTGAAGACATGAATAATGTATACATAATGGCTTCTTTTTTATCATGTAATACGTTCCACCTATATGAATGGAACCTATATGATATTGACACGATTAAGACTTTTACAATATTTGTGTTGTGTATGACATGTTTTACTTCATAGCGATAACGAATAAGCTTCTAGCTCCTTCCCAGTACTATAAATGTCCATTCAAACACGTATGTATGCAAAGGTCAGGTCATATCGTGTGGCTGTTTCATTGATCGTATAAAGTATTCAGCCACGTGCATAAGGCTTGGTGTATAGATGTACTTCGGCCCAGACCACACGCTTTGGGACTTCCGGTATCGAGGCAAAAGGATCAGCACATGTTACGATAGAAAATAGATTTGTGATTATTTTCATATTACGGGAAACATTTCTATGCGTGTGCTTGATAAAAAGAATTCGTACGAAGCGCCACAGAGGAGATCCTTTGACACATATTTGTTCCAATGTGTGTAGCTTTATGTGTGTGATATTCATTTATAACATGTGTCGGAGCCTGAACAGTTGTTACTATATGCTAATTATTCAATAGGACCGTGACGTCATAGAGCAATGACATAATCAAACAATTGATATCCATATTCGCCTTTCGCTTCCGTAGAAGAATTGAGACAACTTGGTTGCTCTCAACATGCCAAATGTATGACAAACTCCTTCACTTTCCTTGACATCGTGTGTCAACCGAGAAACCCAAATGAACTCAGTGCTTTGCGGTCATTAAAATATATGAGTTTGATTTCCCACTTTCGACGTATAAACAAAACATCTCATGATCTGATATACCCTTATATGGTTAATCGAGTATGAATTATTGCTATATGGTGTTTATTTTGTCACAATCCTCAATTTCCTAAACCCTATTTTGTTGTTGTATGATAATGGTCGTATTTTTGTAGTCGTTATACAATACAGACAATGTGTAAACTTACCAACTGCAGACCTGATTATTCACAAAAGGTCGCACATCTTGAAACTATTTATGAAATGTGGAAATTGTTTCGATGAGACTGAAACATTCGGAATATGCGCCCTGCCCTACTTAAACGTTCAGAAAATGCTTTTAAGCCCTCTTACCTACTCTAAACTGCTGGCATCCATCACTGCATGCATATCACCATGTCTGTTGAACGATGTATGGTGTAGACTGGTTAGGTAGAAGTAAATTGTTTTAATGATCAACACTGCTGAAGCGTGACGGAAAACACCCCGTGTTGGGTTGTGCTTTGCAAAAAGATTAAAGTTAGCACGTCTCTAGCGTTTCGTGCTAGTTTTAGTGTGGCTATGTTTTTGCCGGACCCTATTTTCATCCTTTCTTGCGCCTGATATCCTATTGGTTCAAGTGTTTGCTCCCCCGGGTTCAATTCCAGCTATATAATGTACAATGCCCATTCTTGGTGTATCGCGCAGTAGACTATTACAAAGTCGGCGTGAAACCGTATTTGAGGATTTTCCTATTATGTAATCAGTTGCATGCATTAGAAAATATGTGTTTTCATTTTATGCGGATTATACTGTGTATTCGATGCCCGGATATTTACATTTAGACCCGACGGTCTTGCAAGAGAGGCCTGACGCCGACGTGCAATGCGATGATGTCATGATACAATGAATAACGTCATATGCTTCCGTGATTATTGATCTAGCGGAATGTGGGGAAAAACAACCAAATCGACGTTGTTCTGATAAATATTGATCATATCGAATATTTAATTCACGTATCCGTTTCGCCAAGCCGAATTACACTTTCTTCAAATTTGGCATTGAGAAAAAGACACTTATCAAGAAAAGTTTTCATACGCATTGAATAGTCAGAAACAACGTTTTTTAACCAATCAGATTGCAAAACACACACACACACACACACACACACACACACACACACACACACACACACACACACACACACACACACACACACACACACACACACACACACACACACACACACACACTCGCCAATTCCTTTTACAATTGTGAATAAAACCTCCCCATTCAGTCTATATGGACTGTGTAACATTATCATAATAGTGAACCAAACAGCGTGGGCGAATAGCTGTAGATAATATGCAAAATGTGTTAAAGAACTCATAAAGATTAATGCATGTTTACAATACGTATGTTGTAACCGTTATCTTGAATTTCAATTAGCTGTGGCAGCTTAATGACTCGGATACTCGAGCAATGTGGGTCAACGCGGTTCACGGTAGCTCCTCGGTACTGATCGGAGATCCAAAGTAGATAAGGATGAGTTGTACAGGTTCTACTACACCAAATCAGTACCAGTTTGGAGAGTGCGGTTTTCGTAGGGAGCCTTCAGTGCAGATCGAGAGATATCTGCAGGCTGTGATTGGAGGATATTCTGTAAGGTTATTTATGTCTTTCAAATGTACATCCATCCAGTTATTAAAACTGACCATGTTTTTCTATATTTAGTACTGTCTTTTTCAACATGATGACTTATGCTGAATGTGACCACAGCTATTTTTAAGTAGGTGACATTTGGTGCGAAACTGGGGGTGGTGTGTTTAGCTTCCGGTACTCGGAAAAGGAGCTGGCTAAGCTAGTCATTTTTATTTTTTTTATTGCTGCTCTAAGGCCAAACTGTGCACACACGTACAGGTAATACCTGTTGAATGCTTAGTTATTTAAAAAAAAATCATAACGTTACTATAGAAGTCTATGGGAAAACATTTGGTTGTGAGTAACCTGAAACAATGATGTTGGTAAGTAGAAGAGACAGTTAGCTGCATTCCCATCTACATGTACCGTCCAAACCCAACACGTGTAAACTGAGCACGGTCGAACATACTTTAATGGATTCCTTTGGGCGTGTCAATATTACATTGTATCTCAATCCTGATGAACACAATCTAATCCTCTCCGTCAGAGAACAGTAGAGAGGGTTTGTTATTTCAACGAGTGGGAGGAACGGTGAGGTGTTTGTGTGATAGCTGGTGATATATGGTGCAACCACCTGTTAGTACTTGTTATAGAGTGGGACCTGTATCATGTTCTAGGTATTCCAGTATGTTGAGAAGCAGACAAAACTTGGCAACACGAGTACCTGTAATGAGAGCAACGCTGCTGAAATACAGGTTTTGAAGGAATTACTAAGGGATGCAGATGGGAAAGGTTCCTCCCTAGAGATGGAGGCTGGTGTATGAAGCAGTTTCTAAAACCTTTGTAAACAAACAATTAGTTTACAATAACCATACACGTATTTTTGTCAACGTGGTAAGATACATACACCAGAGACTATCGTGCTGACAGGGAGAGTTGTTACACAATGTTACTGCCCTTGCTTATTATCAGCGAGTGTGTTTAAAACATTATCTAGGCACTTTGGTGGTATGCGGAGTTTTAAGTACAAATGTGATATTGTGAGGACTTTTCCAGGTTCAAAGTAGATCGCCGAAACTTAAATGTCGTGTGTTTATTGTGTTGTGTTTGTGTACGTGAAGCTGTATGATAAGCTTTGAATACAGTTGTGAATGATTTTATATATACATGTATGTTACCAGTGTGTGAAACTGTAGGTGCGGATATACTTACGTTAATGGACGTATCTGTATCTAAAGCTGTTTTTAAATTATTCTTGAAGTTGTATTTGAAGTCGTACTTGAAGATGAAACGAGATCCTTCCAAGTTATGAATCATGTTTAATCGTTGTAATTAACATAAATAATTACATAAAATAACCATAATCAAATCTTTATAAACGTGGATAATATATATAATATACACCAGAGAATACAGGAATAGTAAGGGGTGTGTTATAGAATGTTACTGCCTTTGCACATACCCAGCTTGATGTTTAAAACATTACCATAACATATTGGTTTTACTACTGGGTTTACGGATTTTGCTTCGAAAACCATAGGTATATAGTCGGAATAAACAAATTTGAAATTGCGAAAACAGATTTCCTCAAAGTGATCTCTTAACATAAGTCAACAGGGTGGCATAAAATAAAAATGAAAGGATAGAAAAAAGGTGCCTGGATTTTTACTTTGAATGACAGGCCATGGAGTCACTTCCTTCTGATAACGATGTACTTTGGAGGTTTATAAATTTCTGACGTGTTTTAGGAGACCAGAGGGTAGAAGGTTTCATTTCATGACGTGACATTTGGCACGGCGGACCCATAAACCACCAATATACTATCTAACCGCAATAAAGGTTGGGTTTCGAATAGAAGGCATTCAAAGAATGTTTTTGAACTAGTTTTCTTTTTCATAGAAAATATCACTTTTGATTTAAAATATTAAAATACCCTACAATTAACTTACTAACTTTTCTCTATTTTGCAAATTCATAATGAACCGTTTGCTTATTGTTTTACCGTGTGGAAGACCCGTGGAGATCCGGGTTAGAATAGGTCTTTAGCAACCCATGCTTGCCGTAAGAGGTGACGGGATCGGGTGGTCAGGCTCGCTGACTTGGTTGACGCAGTCATCGTATCCCGATTGCGTAGATCGATGCTATTGATGTCAATCACTGGATTGTCCTGTCCAGACTCGATTATTTATAGACCGCCGTCATATGGCTGGCATATTGCTGAGTGCGGCGTTAAACAAACAAACAAAGAAACACGATTGTGTGGAAAAACTGTTTAAAACTTAATAATGCACTATACTATGCCATTTATATGTATTTTACAGCATTACGTCTCTATGTCTGTGTGAGTGTCAAGAAAGTGTGAGCTAAGAAAGTGTGAGCTTAGAAAAGATCGACTGGTTCAATCTTCGCAGCGTGTTTTCGCTTGTCCGCGCATGATGCTTTTCGCCAAACCTCACTCACCGACTGAATTTGTCCATCCAAACTGGGCTCCCGCCATCTTGCCCGCACGATGACGTCAGCTGTGTACTGTTCCTTCAGCGTGTCGATCTCGCCGACTTTAAAGAACTGCACGCACACTTGTACTTTCACCTGCAAACAAACAAGATGTTTCGGTTACCTGAAAATTGATTAGTTGAGGGAATAAGGTGCTCGCCGCTCGTAGCAATATTGCAGCCGTTTTGCAGCCGTTTTGCAGTATTTTGCAGCCATATTACAATCATGTTGCAGCAGCGTATGCATCAGCCATATTGTAGACGTTACGCTATAATGTTGCAGCATCAATGGTGACGCAACTGTGTAGTAGCTGTTTTTCAGCCATGTCTCAGCCGTTCAGAACCAATGCTGCGGCCAACTTGCAGTCATGTTGGAGAAGTGTAGCAATCAGGCTTCAGCCGATTTGCAACAGTGAGGCGGCGTTCGGCCATGCTGCGGCCGTTTTTCAGTCATGTTGAAGCCGGTTTACAGCTCTGATGTAGCAGTGTTGCCACCGTCACATCACGACGGGAACATCAAGAGCGGGCATAGAAAACAGCCCATATGGAAAATCGAACCAAGAACTTCAGCGTGAAAATCGATGGCATTAACAACTGAGCTACCTTCGCGACCCGATGTCAAGAGCTAATTTTCGACTTTATTGATATATACAGTTTATTCACTTCTAATGTTGCAAGTATGAATTCTGCCTGCTTAATGGTCATCTGAACAATACTAGGCTACTGGAGTAGGGCGATTAAATATGAGCTAAATACCAATGTGAAGCAAATATATCAAATGTCAACACTAAATCGTATGTATTTAATTAGACACCGTATCATCCGACACAATATATTATTGGCTAATGTCAAATTTTAAACAATTAGAACTCGTTGCATTTATGTATTATATTAAAGTACGTATGGACGTATTTTACTGTATATTTTAAATAACAATTAAATCAGCATCAATAGCTACTGGTATAACACATCGTATTCGACTAGGCTTCCCACGCCCTCATGAATCTCAAGTATCAGATAACTGATCCCTTGAAGTTCATAGTTGAGAAATAACTAGATAACTATTATTGTCATTAACAAAATCCGATAACAGCGTTTCACACCGATTCTCTTGCCAAAAGTATGCTCTTTGTTAATGTTCTCTCGCTATATCTCTGCGTCTGAATATGAATAATACACGCACCGCACCGTTTTAGCTTTAGGTAATGTATCCAAATCAATAAATGTACAGAGAACCAACATAAATGAACCATAAATTGTAGATAACATTGAATATAGAATATTTGATTAATTAATTATACAACTTTACCTTGTAATTAACAGATATCATCAGGTTGATATGAAAAGCACAAGTGCTTCTTGACTGGGCGTCATTTCATTTGGTCCCAGAACAAGTACAAGGCCATATCATGTATTTATATTCAGTCGTGCCACATCATATGAAATAGTGCAGAAGCGCTTCTTTCTGTCAGTGTGGGGAGTTCTTGAGCTAGATAGCGGTGAGTGTGTGTGTGCAGTGAATGGTGCATAGATCACCACATTTTTCACATATTCTGCTGACGTAGATCGCATCTACTCTCTAAACAGGTTGTGACAGGCATAACTGTCATGTGGCTGCCAGACATGGCAGAAGAACACGTCTGGGAGCATCGTGTAATAATAGATTACTCTCTGTTGCATGGATATATTTTCTGCATTTAGCACACCAAACACAGAATACATAATATATTCTTATATTCAGCAATATGTTAAAGAGCGGCATGAAAAATATACATTATATATATATATATATATATATATATATATATATATATATATATATACACATACATACATAAAGCATATAGCTCATGTGCCCATATATTCATAGTACTCCCAAAGGATTAAAACTACAAATGTGTACATAAAAACGACAAAACCAATAAATTCCGTTGTACGATTCCGACTATATCATAAACATGTCATACCCGTGCTCGTGGGTTTCACTGAAGTGGTAAACGTCTGAGACCTGAATCACTTTGGGCTTTCCTCCCACATTAAGCCGACACGCCGCGATATAACTGGAATACTGTCAAAAGCGGCGTTAAGGCCAACTCAGTCACTCACTCATAAACATTTGTTTATGAATCGTTATTAATTACTAATGGAAACAGATAGCAAATGTTTGCGAAATGGTTAGCTTATCCTGCCTCACCGCTGGCACCTATCACAAATACATGCAAAGGCATGTCAAACGTTAATTTGAAAAAAAACATACTGTACAAGTCAAAATAAGGAATTGCATCAGACATAATCTTTTTCACTGTACAACGTGTTCAGGTGAACATTTGACTTGCCTTCCCACGTGTATGTGATGGGTACCACAGGTGGGTCAGGATATGCTCACCTTATCACAAAACCTAGTGTCATCACTATTTGATTTCTATAGAAGAGATTTCTTGCGCTTATATTCACAATCCTACCTTTGAACATGTTGACTTATTTTTGTTATATTCATACCTGTTTTTGATTTTGGTTTTAGTAGCCAAACTGTTTTGTTTTTGAAACTGAGACTTTGTACTTCAATGGAAGCTGTATCAGTATTGTCATAAGTACTGAAGCAATAGACCCAACTCATTTACATACAGCGTGGATGATGGCAGCAAACACGATCACTTCGATCCATATGCCATTGCTTGCAATAGGTCGATGAATGACATAACATCCAGACACTCATAACACCAACTCACAGAGTAGCGTCTCAAAGCTGTAAGGGTCCGCTGACGGTATTTTCGAATTCAAAATGTGCCCATATCTTCTGCTGACAGCCCATTAACGTGCACGTTGGTTTTCCGCAAGTTGAACCCATTAAGTCCGGGTATAGTTTTTCCTATCTTATCCTGACACGCCGTGTTGTAACTGAATACTGTTTAAGGTGAATACCCATTCACAGTAAAATGACTTAACTTCATCTTCCGTTCATCCAGTCACTTCTATTCCATTTAAATTGGTGATATTGCAAAATGTATTAAATATAGGTTATGTTTTGTTTTGGTTTGTTGTTTAACGCCGCACTCAGCAATATTCCAGCTATATGACTGCGGTCTGTAAATAATCGAGTATGGACCAGACAATCCAGTGATTGATATCATGAGCATCGATCCACGCAATTGGGATCGATGACATGCATCAACCAAGTCAGCGAGCCTGACCACCCGATCCCGTTAGTCGCCTTTTGCGACAAGCATAGTCACCTTTTACGGCAAGCATGGGTTGCTGAAGACCTATTCCACCCTGGAATTTTTTACGGGTCAAATATAGGTTATGATGTATACAGGCAAGTGTACTGACGCAATACACTGACACGTATCAAGAACACATAATACCGTACTCGACATAATAAGCGCCCGGGGCGCTCTCAAAATTAGAAATAGGGGGCTCCTATTAGAATATTATTTTGGTGAAAAACAATTGAAAGATCGTAAATTTCGTGGTTTATGCAGACAGCCTGAAATGTAAATATACGACAGATATGTTTTTCCAGAATTTAATTTCCCATAATTAAGGATGCATATAACACACGTATTATACACGAATAAATAAGTCTTGTGTACATTGAACAATTGGAAGTGGTGCTAATTGGGATTGTTCCCTAGCCAATATATTAGCAAATATCGCCGTGGGCGCTTATTAGAGCGGGGGGCTTATTACGTCGAATACGGTATATATGGTAATGATTTTCAAGAAAATGTATAATGAAGTTTTTTGTCCCGAACAGAATAGCTATAGTACATCCAACAGTTTGATGCATCAATACAGTTTCTTTTTACTGATAAAGAATACCAAACATTGGCCTATCATCAAAGCACACATCGTAACACATGTAGTATAACAAAATAGGTTATTTTTGTGCCAAAAGCACCACCACATGATGCCAGACAGCACAAGCTGGGAGAGTGATAAGGTGCTGTGAATGTTCACAATAAGGAGTCACAACGTCTGTATCGAGTTGTCTTGCAATCAGGAGGTGAGATGATAGCTTGGCTTGCTCAGACATGAGTACCCAGTGATGTCGTTAACATCACGATTCTTATTGATTTGAAATACCAGAGAAACAGTCGAGTATTGGCAACATGTGTAACGACTCTCAGGATGACGTAGGGTAACTCATAATAGAGGAGACCCGTGAAGATTCCGGGTTAGAATAGGTCTTCAGCAACCCATGCTTGTCGTAATAGGTGACTTTGCTTGTCGTAAAATGATCGGTGGTCAGGCTCACTGACTTGGTTGATGCATGTCATCGATTCCAATTGTGTGAATCGATGCTCATGATATTACTCACTGGATTGTCTGGTCCAGATTCGATTATTTACAGACCGCCGTCATATAGCTTGAATATTGCTGAGTGCGGCGTTAAACAACAAACCAACCAACCAACCATAATAGAGGAACATGGTGTTCTGGATTATTGCACAAATATAGCGACCCGCATGCACGTGTGCATGTGGCTGCTTATACTTAAGTATATAGTCGATAGACCATACTTATACCGGCTTTATAGTGCAAGACCGCCTCCGTGGTCTAGTGGTAGAGTGTCCGCCCGGAGAGCGGAAGGTCCGGGGTTCGATCACCGACCGCGTCATACCAAAAGACGTTAAAAGATGGTACTTGTTGTTACCCTGTCTGGCGCTCGGCATTAAGGGGCTAAAACAAGGATTGGTCGGCTCGGAGTCAGTATACTGTGTCTGAGTAGGGTATTCATGTTAAACTACGGCATGGTATCTCAGTGAGCTAGCACTATAAATCGGCATCAGTCCGGACTTGTACAAGCAGCCACACAAACACACACACGTACATGCACGTCGCTATATAAGTGCAATAATCTTAGACGCGACGTAAAACCCCATTTCACCTCACCTTTATAGTGCAAGCCCAGAGATACCATGCCGCAGTTTAACATGGACACAACATTCTGATTCCGAACCAATGAGTCCTTGTTTTATCCCTTTAATGCCGAAAGGACATCGTAACAGGTATATTTTAACGTATTTTGGTATGATGCGGCCAGAGGTTCGAACCTCCGACTTTCCGCTCTCCGGGCAGACTCTCTATCCACTA